CGAAAGGGTGCTTGTCGTCCAAGACCACCTTCTTCTGATCGGCCTTCGTCCTGGTGATCTCTGCGCTGCCGATGCTTTCGCCTCGTGATGGGCCGCCTGCTGGTTTCGTGCCCGCGGGGGCCCACCGTAGAGTCAAACTCAACCCCGTTGCCAGGGTGATCACATCTATCTTCCTCCGCTGCGTCATCAAGGGTCACGAAGAATTCCCCATCTTTCCCACGTCCCCTACTGTCACCATGGATTCGCACACGACCAAGAAGCAACTGAACCAGCACTGCGATGACCTGCACAGATGCCGAGCCAAAAAGGCCACGGTCCTCATCTCCAGCACGTTGACGTGGTCCTTGTAGGCCCACTCCAACCTTCACGATAGATCCAGCACCGCTCAGGGCCTTTCTGGGGGGGGCGTCGAACCTCGCGAACTCGCCAATCGTGAATCGCCAGCCCCTTGGTTTGGATCGCCATCCGAATGAGCCTCGCGCAGGCGCTGCGCACCCGCGGCGGACACACCGCGAGGAGCCGAGCCCATGGCTGCCCTTCGCGATTTCGCCTTCGAAGCTATCGGCGTCGAAGGCCCCCCGCACATCGGCACGCCAGCTCCTTCAGCGACTCCACGTTCGCTATCTAGCGGGCGGGCTTCGCCCGCTTCGTTCCGATGGCGCAGCGCGCGATCTCGATGGCGAACGCGCCCGACTGCCCCATCAACCCCATTATCTCGGGGAGCTCCCAGGGCATCGAGGCCCCGGGGTTCCCGGGCTTAAAACCCACGCCACTCGCCAGACAAGCATCGCACATCGAGATCGCCGCCCGGGCAGACCACTGCCGCCTCGCACTCGTCGAACCCGCGGAGGCGAAAGCCCGGGGAGTCTTCTGACACTACGCCCTGGAGCTCGAATCGCCGGCCTCCGAGCCCGCGAGAAAGACGGGCATGGAGGCGCCACGTGCACCAGTGAAAACTAGCCGAAACAAGCTAGCCTCGCACACCAACTCCACGAAAAACGGGCCCATCAGGTCGCGACAGGGATCCCAAGTCGCGTCCGCGAGGAGGGCCTCGCACTGGAACGCGCCCCGCACCTCCTCGCCGATGCCGCCGCGGCCCGAGGAGACGTCGACCAGCCAGCGCTGGGCAGGCACGTCGCTCTCGCCGGTCGTCCGAGGGATGCCTCGCTTCGCGCGCTCCACAACGTCGCCGCTCAGCAGTAGCCCCCCCCATCGCCCCTCGCCGGGTCGCGAAGCTGCCGGGCCCCCCGCTGCTTGCCCACCCACCCCTGACCTCGCCCGGAAAAGCGCTCGTCTCCACGACCCCCAAGCCTTGCTCGCTCGCGTCCGCCGCGAACGCGACCTCGCGGGCGCCAGGTGGCACAGCATGTGAAGCTCGTTCAGCGCGCTCTCCGACAAATCGTTCTCGGCGTCGTCATCGACGCGCTTCGTCGCGAACTTGCACCAGGCGTCGAGCACGCAAAGAACCATCCGCAACAACTCCTCCGAGGTCGCGCGACGGCGAGCCAGCGAGGCGCCCGCGGCACCGATCACGTTCTGGATCTTCCCCCTGGAGGCCGTCAGGCGGTAGGGCTGCTCGGCGATCGCCGCGCCCCAGGAGAGGGGCATCGCGCCCCCCGCGCCGCCCCTGCGCACGTCCAGACCCACCCCCTTCAGCTTCGCGCGCGCCGACTCTTTCGCCGCCCCCATCGTCGCGAGGTCGCCCCTGCCCACCGGAGTCAGCGACGCAGAGTCGCTCGCGCAGGCCCAGCAGACAAAAGCAACCTGAGCGAAGCTGGGCGGCACCAGGCCACGCACTAACTGGCCAGCGCGTGGAAAACCAGGATGGTCGCAGATAATGCCCCCAGCGCTCCGCGGCAGATCGCTGGGGGCCGACTGACACCCATCAGCATCGCAACCAAGCAAAGGTACTTGGTTCCATTCGGCACGTTCGGAATGTCCACGTTCCACCTATTCGGCTCCTTCATCAACTCGCCCATCGAGGCGCCACCGTATACCTCGCGCGGCCAGAGCTCGGAGCAGCTCCAGCACCTGCGGAAAAAGTCCGGCACTCTGCCTTGCGTCACCACGACGGACAAGTCGAGCTCCCACATCGCCATCGGGAAACCCAGGTCGAGGTGAGGCGGGGGCCCGGCGCGCTTGTCGGCGCGCCTCATGCCCCGCGCGCCATCTTCACCACGAAGAACGCAGCCACCTCCGCCACGCAGACACCGAGGAAGCCTCACACCCCTGACCCCCGCAGCCGCACTGCGAAATCCAGACGAGCAGCTCGGAGGCGGAAGCTGGGATCCGCGCGGGCTCGCGCGCTCTCGATGTCGGCCTCGACCACCTGGCTCGGGGGGAGGGCCATCTTCTCGTAGAACCTGTCGAAATAGCACCTGGCCTTCGGAGAGACCAGCTTGATGTCGCAAAGCTCGGCCCCTGCTGGCGGCAGAGACGCTTCGCCGCTCGCGCGGGGCATGATTTTCCTTCGGGGCGGCGCTCCCCCGTCGTCGCTGGACACAGCCATGGCCTCGTAGGCCCCAGCATTGGCGCGCAAGGCCAGCCGCTCGAAAGCGAACTCGGCGCCGGAGGCACACATCCTCAAGTCGCGAGCCGCGCGATGGCACTCCAGCACCCGTTCGGCGATCCTCCAGGGCAGCTCGCGGCCGTCGCCCACCCCTTGGCGCTGCCCCACGCAGTGTCTCGAAGATGATTGTGCTGGCCAGTCGTGAAAGACCTCAGAGACCGCAGAGCAGCGGTCGCCCTCCCGCGCGCCGCCTTATCCAGGACCGCCCGTGACCTGGACCGCCCCGAAGTTGGCGCTGCGGGCTCGGGCGAGCGCGGGGGCGGAAGCGCCTCCAGAGGGCCTCGCACTCGACTATTTGAGGGGGGCGCGCACACCACTCTCATCGCCATGAGAAATTAGAAAGATAACGCCGTTGCGTGCGTACGCTAGGCGGGCAGCGGCCAAGGTGACTGCCGCCGCGACGACGCGCCCGTCCTGGGCCCGGCGCCTTAAGTGGATCCCCCCCTCGTGCTCGCCAATCGCCCTCCCTTGTCGCAGAGTGCTTGCGGTCGTTCAGCAGGTCGAGGAACTTGGCCAGCAGAGCTCGGTGCGCCAGCCGCTCCCGCAGCTCCTTCTCCACGGGGGCCTCGATCATAGACCGGTCGGTCGATCATCATGCCTCCGGCAGCATCTCCTCGGCCACGCGATTGCCTTCCAGTTGCTTGGCTCGGACCATCTGGCGAACGGACGCCACTGCGGTCGAACCGTTCCTGTAGAGACGAGCCGCCATGGAGGAAGCAACTCGGGTCTTGATGTCACCTGGGATCGTCCAACCCACGTTCGGATTGTACGCCTCAAGCTTCTCCTTCGCCATCACGCGCATACTTTTGAAGGAGTCGTCCAGTCCACGTACCAGCGCCGCCACCTCGGGACTCGTAAAGGAACTCCCTCTAAACTTGTGGATGTTCCTGTAGTGGCTGCCTGACTATCGGCCCGCACGATCTCGCTGCGCTTGTCAAAGCGTTCGAGAAGCTAGGACATCAGCTGGTCGTAGTGCGAGCCTGTCCACGTCTCGGCGCCGCCGTCTACGACCCCCACCGCAGGACCCAACACACTCGAAGGCGGAGTTGCGGAGGGAGACGCAGGAGGGGCTGACGAGCTCTTGGTCTCCAGCGCGGAGGGCCACTCCGCCACGGCACTGAGCTGCTTCACCAACGCTGACTCGGCCGACCCGTCCTCCTCCTTGAAGCTTTCCACCGTCTCCACGGTCTCCTTCGCACTGTTGTACGTCCACTTGATCAACTCCACCACGTTGAAATACGCACAAGCTCGCCACAGCGCAATCGTGGAGCCAGCGAAACTTCCAAGACTGCGTCGAACCCAGCAGTACCCGACCCCTGTTTGCGAATTTGGCCACCCAGGTCACCAGGTGACGTCGATGGCCCTTCTTGCGTGGTAACGCCTTACGGTGGTAATCCCGAGTGATAGTAGCTGCGGTCGTCGAACTGCCAGACGCAATCACCCGATCTGCTGCTGCCACGGCCATGGCCTTCTCCCGCGCCGACATGCCCGGGAAGGCCCCATGTTCCACGCCAGGACACTTGGTCGAGCTCACCATCGAGAGTTCGACCACCTGGAGTCATGGCCACCCAGCGCTTCTCGCCGGCCGTCGTAGTGAACCTCATCACCAGCAGCATGATCAGTTCCGTCTTGTCCTTGGCACACTGTCGATAGAATACTCTGCTCCGTCGCTGCGGGGGCATCGGCGACGGGGCGGGTAGATGCTGCTCCGAATCGGGATCGACGCACACCTCCTCCTCAGCGTCTGGGAGGGCAGGCTCGTCCCCGTAGTACGCCTCGAACTCGCGGGTGCATGGTCAACCCAGCCCTCTTCCGCCTCCTCACGCACCAGAGAAGTCCCCGGCACGCACGCGGCAACCCACGAGAGCTTCGTGGCTAAGATGGCCGCACGCTGGGACGACGCTCGCGCGAGAGGAGGAGACTGCCTGATGAATGCTTGAGCCCATATATATATATATATACATACATATACATATATATACACACATATATACTAGAACCACGCGCGCGCTTCGCGCGCGCTTAGGTTCTAGTCCAGCCCATGGCACTGCGATGAAACGGAGGTCGGGGTTTCCAGGCGACTCGCAGTCGGAGAAGAGTTGTGTCCGTCGTGGGCCGGTTATGGGATGTCGCAGGGCTCCCTTGGGCTGGCTTTTGAGCTTTTCAGGCGCTCTTGTGGGGGGGGGGCATGTGTTTGTGGCCCCGATGGCGCCGTCCAGGGTTGCCTCTTCGTTGTCACGACGCGCGGGTCTTGGCTTGTGGGTTCGTCGAGGAGATCGCTGAACAGGCTTGGGGCATTGACTGGCTTTTATGATGAAATGTCGAGGCCGTAGTTTGCTGGTCTTTGGATGTCGTCACATGTTCTTGGCTTGTCTTGCCGAACATGTGCGGGGGGGACGAGGAATGACGGAGGAAGGGACGAAAACTGCCCTGAAATAGAATGCACGCGCTGCCACGCCAGCTGGCGGAGCACGCGCAGAAGAAACCCAGAGGACGGAGAACAAACTGCCTTGACACATGGTGCACGCGCTGTCACGCCGGGTGGTGGAGCACTTGCAGGAAGATCGAAGAAAGACGGACGAAGGAGGAACACAGCCGTGCTATAAAATGCACGCGCTGACACGCCAACTGGCGGGGCATGTGCAGGACGAAGCAGCGGTAACGGAGCGCGGAGAGAAAGCCGCTGGCTGGCGGAACACGTGCAGGCGGGACGAGGAAAGACAGACAGGAGGCAGAAAGACATACGGAAGAAACAGGAACTCTGTTGAGCCGTCTCGGGTCCTGCTGGGACGTGCCCAGACCGTTTTCGTGCTGTCTCCTCACGCTGTGATAGCATACCAACCATGTTGGGGCATCTTGGGGCCCAGGTCTCTTTCGAAGTCTCTCGGAGCCCAATTGGAGCCTCTTCGGAGTCTCCTGGAGGCTTCCCGGAGTCCTCCTGGGGTCTCTTGGGGGCCTCTTTGTGTTTCTTTTGGGCCTCCCAGGGGCCTCTTTCGGCCTGCCCTGTTGGGCACCTATAGGCGGCCTCGGGGGTCATTTTTGGGCAGAGGGTTCCAAATAGCGGCTCGTATTACCCCTCCATCCTGGGGCCCTCTTGGGCCGTCTTCGGGTTGTCTTGGTCCATCTTGGGGCCCTCTTGAGCCGTCTAGGGGCACTCTTGAGAGCCTCATGAGCAGTCTGTAGGCGTTTTTGGAGACCTCCGGGGTTGTCTTTGACTGTGTTAAATTTAAAAAATGGAAGTTTTCCTGAGGGGATGGAGCACTCTTGCGGGTCCTCTTGGATTGGTCTTGGATCGTCGTGGACGCCTCCCCTCTAGAGCCGCCTTGACGGCGGTCTGGGGAACCTCTTGACCCGGCTGGGAGCGTCGGAAGCCCGAAATCCGTCAAAAAACTAAAGGAAATTATCTAAATTTGGCCTCTCGGAGCACTCGTCGGGCTGCTGTTTGAACCTTCTTGGGCCGTCTGGAACCTCTGGAAGCCGTCTTCAGGGCAGCTCGGGGCAATCTTGGTCCGTCGGGACGGCTGTCTGATCGGCCTGGGACCCTGGGCCTGCTCCCCCGGCCCCAGCGACAAGGGTCGCTGCCGCTCCACCCATTGACAGAGACAAAGAAAACCTGTGCCAATCAGGCGGCGTCCCAGGAACGGTCTCAGGTTTTTGGACCGGAGGGCGCATGTAGACGTACATGAAGGTTTGGGGAAGCCTCTCAGAAGCCCGTTGGGGCCCTCTTGGGGGTCTCCTGGGGGCTTCCTGGGAACCTCGGGGGGCCTCTTGGAAGCCTCTTGGGGGGGCCTCTGGAGGCCCTTGGGGGCCTGCCGCGGGCGTCTTGGGGGCCTCTTTGGGCCTCTTGGGAGTCTCTTAGGGGCCTCTTGGGGGCCTCCTGGGGCGGGGGGGCTGGAAGGTTCAGTTGGGTGTCCCGTCTTGGGCCCCTCTTGGGGCCCTTCGGGGACGCGTTTGGGCCGTCCTGGGCGCCTCTTGGACTGTCCGGGGCCCCTCTGGGGCCGTCTTGGGGCTCTCTTGTGGGCTTCGTGGGCCGTCTTGGGGCGGTCTATGGAGAGTCGGAGGTCGTAAAGGACGGTACGAAGGCCAAAAAATCGAATATGGTAAAAATGTACGTTTTACGAAGGGAGCGGGGCTATTTTTGCTTCCCGGGGCCGTCTGGGGGGATCTCTTGGAGGGGTCTTCGAGCGTCTTGGAGGCGTCTGGGGCGGTCTGGGGCGGTTCGAGACGCCTCTTGAGCCGCCGGAGACCGCTGGAGGTTGTCTTCAGGGTGGCTGTGGGCGGCCTGGGGCCGCCTGACGGCCGTCTGGGCGCTCCGGGGGCCGACCTGGGGCCCGCCGGGGAGCGGGCTGGGCCCGACGTCCCCCCATTTGTGGTCGGGGCTGCAGCCCCGGGGCCCCCGGGCCCGGTGCGGCGTTACATGTAGATAATGGACAGTCTCTCGCAGCTCTGAGCACACTCTTCGCTGTCCCACTCCCCTCTGGCCCACCGAGGCCCGAGGAGGGGATACTATGTTCACGGCCCTATGTACACGCACTCTAAGAAAGCCTGTTAACAAACATCTAGATGACGATGCAGATGAGAATGGTGATGACGGCACGCGGAGAGCAGAGGCACGGACGGGAAGAGGAAGGAGGGGGAGGAGGAGCAGGAGGAAGGAGCGGGAGGAGGTGTGAGACGCGGGGCGCTGTGCTTGTCAAAACGAGGACACAACACAGGATGGTTAGGAAAAAAATTGCAACAAACAGCGAACGAGATAGAAAACAAAACAGGTACATCGGAAATACGAGAGAGCGAAAGCGAGAGAGAGAGAGAGGGAGCGAGAGCAAACATTAGCCTGGCGAGATACCCAACCATATGCAGTTGCGGGAAATCCAGTCGTGGGCATCGCCGTCGCTGGAGCCTCCTGTAGGGCCGCGAAGCGTGCGCGGGGTGTAGCGACATGGGTGGCGGGAGCGCATGCGAGCTGCGCCACTGGACACCTCGGTGGAGCTCCCCGCGGGGCCCCGACGCGCGTGAGGGGCGTGCCGAAACCGGCAGGGGGGGAGCGCGCCTGCGGCCCTGGACACCGGGGCCTCCGGTGAAGCTCCCCACGGGGCCACGGATCGCTGTGCCGAGTGGGGAAGGCGTCTGTGCGCGAGCTGCGCCACTGGGACCTCCGGTGGAGGTCCCAGTAGGGGCCACGGAACGCAGGAGCGGCGTGCCGAGATGGGCGTCGGGGCCGCATGACGACTGCGCCACTCCACTGGGGCCGTCGGTGGAGGTCCCTACGGGGCCACGAAACGTGCGAGGGGGTGCCCAAATGGGTGGCGAAGACGCATGCGAACTGCGCCAACGAAGCCGTCGGTGGAGCTCCCCATGGAGACGCGAAACGCGTGAAGGGTGTGCCGACATGGGTAGCGGGAGCGCATGGAACTGCGCCTCTGTGACCTTCGGTGGAACTCCCCATCTTTCCACGAAACGTGTGAGGGGTGTGCCGAAATGGGCGGCGGTGACGCATGCGAACACCGCAATTGGAGCCTGCGGTAGAGCTCCCACATGGGGCCACGAAACGTGGGAGGGGTGTGCCGAAATGAGTGGCGGCGGCGCATGCGAACACCGCCACTGGAACCTTCGGTGGAGCTCCCTATGGAGCCACGACACGTGTGAGCGGTGTGCCGGAATGGGTGGCGGGCACGCATGCGCACTGCGCCATTGGGGCCTTCGGTGGAGCTCCCTACGGGGCCATGAAACGTGAGAGGGGTGTGCCGAACTCGATGCGGGGCCGCATGAGAAAGACGCCATTGGGGCCTTCGGTAGAGCTCCCGATGGTGCCACGAAACGTTTGAGGGGTGGGCCGGATGGGCGACGGGAACGCATACGAAGACCGCCACTGGGGCCTTCGGCGCAGCTCCCACTGGGGCCACGAAACGCGTGAGGTGTGTGCCGAAATGTGTGGCGGGGGCGCATGCGAACACCGCCACTGGGGCCTTCGGTGGAGCTCCCTATAGCCCACGAGTGCGGGGTGTGCCGAAATGGGCGGCGGAGGCGCATGCGAACACCGCCATCGGGGCCCTCGGTGGAGCTTCCCATGGAGTCACGAATCGTGTGAGGGGTGTGCCGAAATGTGTGGCGGGCGTGCATGCGAACACCGCCACTGGAACCTTCGGTGGAGCTCTCTATGGAGCCACGAAACGTGTGAGGGGTGTGCCGAAATGGGTGGCGGGCACGCATGCGCACTGCGCCATTGGGGCATTCGGTAGAGCTCCTTATGGACCACGAGGGTGGGGTGTGCCGAAATGGGCGGCAAGACGCATACGAACACTGCCAGTGGTCCCTTCTGTGGAGCTCCCCATGGGGCCACGAAACGTGGGAGGGTGTGCCAAAATGGGCGGCGGGGACGCATGCGAACACCGCCACCTGGCCATCGGTGGAGCTCACCATGGGGCCACCAAACGTTTGAAGGGTGGGCCGAAACGGGTGGGGCGGTGCCATTTTTGGCGGTGCCTCTGGGCCTTCGGTGGAACTCCCGATCGGTCTACGAAACGTGTGAGGGGTGTGCCCAACTTGGCATGCGGAGAACATATGCACGATGACGATGACGATGTGGATGATCGCGATCGCGATGGCGATGATGATGATGATGATGACGATGACGACGATGATGATGATGATACCGATGATGACGATGATGATGACGATGACGATGACGGTGGCGATGACGATGACGACGACGACGATGATGATGATGGTGATGATGATGATGACGATGATGATGATACCGATGATGATGACGATAATGATGATGATGGCGATGACGATGACGATGACGATGATGATGAAGATGATGATAATGATGATGATGATGATTATGATGATGATGATGATGATGATGATGGTGATGATGGTGGTGGTGATGACGGCACGCGGAGAGCAGCGGGAGGGAGTGTGAGACGAGGGGCGCTGTCAGGAAGACTCATGCTCCTCAACGCCAACAGACTGAGCCTGCTGAAGAAACGGATCTCAGAGGACGGGCCATCACCGAAAGGTTCAGGCGGCCGACCAGCAGCCGCGGAAAATCTTCCGTGCCCATGTATTCAAACTATGGCGAGGGCAGCCGAGCAGTCTTTCACCCGATTTGCGGCCGAATCCTACAGTCAACCCGTATAATGAGGAAACACGATAGGAATGCAAGGGCCTCGAAGGCCATGTCGACACTTTGCGAGCGGGGCGCGGCCAGCGAAAGCGGCCAAGGATTGGCCGAAGGGGAAGGATGCACAAACAACCTTGCAACGTCGTTGATTCCTTACTATGCGGCTTGACAGTAGACCTGATGAAGAAAATCCTGGAGGCCTCGCGCAGCAACTTGAGACCCGATTTACGTCAGATCCACGTCGGATTCACGTCGGGGCCGCGTCGGAATTACGTCGGATCTACGTCGGATCTACGTCGGACTGACGCTGGAGCATTGCCGCGCGAACGTCGACCCATAGCTTACAAAGCTGACGAGTTGACTAGATAAATACAACTATTGCGCGCCGCGCGAGGCCTCCAGAGTTTTTCCTCCCAATAGACCCCCTCGCGTCGCGAAGATATCTCGACGGGAGGTGCTTGGCAGTTTCCGGCGCGCGGGGCCCCTCACCGGGCCCCCCGGGGCCGGCAACATATCCACGCCTCGGGGTGGGATCCTGGCCTACGGCACGGTGCCGAGGCCTCCTGGGGGCCCACGCCGAGAAAAGACCACCGATCGGCGAAGGTCCAGTCCTCTATAAGACGAAGCCAGGACGAGGATACTAATTCGGGTGAGGATTGCAAGGCCGTAGGCGACCCGAGGAGGAGGAGGAGGAGGAGCAGGAGGAGGAGGAGGAGGAGGAGGGGGAGGAGGGGGAGGAGGAGGAGGAGAGGGCTCTGAGGACTCTGATGATACGGACCCACTTCAGGGGTCCCTGCCACGCAGGGCAAGCGGCCCCGCGCGTCCCGAGGGGGTCAACACCGGCCTAGGACGGAGCGAGAAGCGGAGGCCACCGGAGGCCCCCCAAAGGGCCAAGGGAGGGCCCACCAAGGGCCGAAAACCGGGAACCCCGAGGACGACCCAGGGAACCCAGCCGCGCCTTCAAGGCCCCCAATGGGGCCTCGACAGCGCGGAGAAAAGGCAGGTGCCAACCCCCTCGCCTAAGTGAGGAAGGTGCTCACCCACTCGATGCCGAACCGATGCTCGGCGAGCTTCTTGAGCTGCTCGTTCGAAAGGCTCTCCAGGAACGCATTCTCTTCATTCTCGAAGCCCTGGACGATCGGCGCCGGCTTCGGGAAGCGCGGCACCTCAGGCATGCCGATCATCTCCACGATGGTGTCGCTGCTCAGGCGCCACTCCGCGCAGCGCTGCGCCTTGGACTTCTCCGCCTTCTCGTACAGCTCCGCATTGGCCTGCAAGACCTGGTCGAAGCCGCTGTTGGCGTCCTCCTTCTCGCACTCCTGCTCCGAAGCCCCAGCGTCCACCTTGATGCTGTAGATCTCCAGAGCCTCCGTCCGCGCCGCCGCCGCCAACGACTCCAGCGGCCCGTCGACGTCGGCCTCCTCCTCGCACTGCGTCTCCATGACCCCCCTGGCACGGCGCCCAGGTACCAGTCATAGAGCATGTCGCCAGGCTCCTCGTCGACGTCCTCGCTGATGTCCGCCCACAGCACCCTGCAGAAGCCGGGCACCTCCAGCTCCTGCTCGAGGCCGTCCTTGGTCAGTCCACCACTCTCGCGGACCTGGAACGGCTCCTCCTGCGCGTACGGTCCTTCTTCACTTTCTTCTCCTTCTTGTTTTTCTTCTCCTTCCTCTCCTCCTTGTTCCGCGGCATGTTCGGCTTGTCGCCGATCCACTGCTGCGGAGGCCCTGCAGGTTTCTCCACCAGCACCGCCCGCGGCACCTCGAAGTTGCCAGGCGGAGGCGATGGGGGCGCTGGCGGCACGAACGCCCCGTCCAAGATCGCCAGCACCGGGGCCTGCGAGGCTTCGGCCTGACCGCACGCGGTGCCAGGGCGCCCTTCCGCGGAGACGGCCCCGCCTCCGCGGGGGTGACCGCCGTGACCGCCGCCGTGACTGCCGCGGCCACCGCCCGCTCGATGGTCTCGACGCCAATAGCAGCATCCTGCCAGCGCTGCCTGGCCGTCGGCCTCCTCTCCTAGGACGGAGGAGGAGGAGGAGGAGGAGTGGAGGAGGAGGGAGGAGGGAGGAGAGAGGAGGAGGAGGAGGAGAGGAGGAGGAGGGGAGGAGGAGGAGGGAGGAAGGAGGAGGAAGAGAAGGAGGAGGAAGAGGGAGGAGGAGGAGATGGAGGAGGAGCAGGAGGAGGAGGAGGAGGAAGAGGAGGAGGAGGAGGAGGACGACGAGGAGGAGGGGTCGCCTAAGCCCTTCGGAGGAACCCTCCAGTGAGTATACAGTAGGAGCTCGACCACAGGAAACCTGCCAAGAAACCCAAGCCTGAGATCCCAGGACGTCCATGGACGTTTGGTGTGGGAACGCCACGCCTTCCACATCAAAACCATCGAAACCCAAGAAACCCAGGGCAATCTGGAGGCAAGCAGGGTGTCTCTTGGCATGGGTTTCCACTGTACATCGAGCATCTCTGAAATCCGGCGGCTCTGCAAGATGTCTCGGGCGTCCCGGCCTTCACAGAGCGGTCCGGAGCGCTCTGAGAGCGTTCTGGAACGCCCTGGAACGGACGTATCCTCGTCCTAGCCTCCTAGCCCCGCCTGACAGACCCCGAGCGTCGTATTTTTTTCACAACGCGGACCCCCGAAGCTCTCGCCCCATCCCCCATGACCGGCTTTTTCTGCCTTGGGTCGTTCTGTGGATGATCCTGGGGCTTGGCGAGAGCCCCTGTAGGCCAAACCCCTTCCGCCGCGATCTTTTTCAACCAAGCGAGGGGGTCTGGAATTGGCGACCGGGAGCGACACTCACCCCGGCTGTGGCGGCGCGCACAAGGGGGCCAAGGCGAGGAGGAGGAGGAGGAGGAGGAGGAGAACAAAGAGGGAGGAGCGAGGAGGCAGGAGGAGGAAAAGGAGGATTGGAGGAGGAGGGAGGAGGAGGATTGGAGGAGGAGGAGGAGGAGGAGGAGGAGGCAAAGGAGGATTGGAGGAGGAGCGCTATTGCGACGAGGAGGGAGGAGGAGGGAGGGAGGGAGGAGGGAGGAGGATGGAGGGAAGAGGAGGAGGAAGAGGAGGAAACCGGGAGGGAGGAGGAGGAGGGAGGAAGGAGGAGGGAGGAAGGAGGAGGGAGGGGAAAGCCACTCGCTTCTCCGCAACCGCGGGGCGCCGGGGCTTCCACGAGGCTCGAGGGGCCGGCCCCTTCCGGAGGACCCCTCCGCCTTCTCGGCCCCCCCCTCCCCCGCCCCTGACATCCTCGCGTCGCGAAAACATCATGAAGGAAGGTGTCTCACCGTGTTCGGCCTCTGGGGGCCCTCGTCGGCCCCCAGAGCCGTCAAGAAACGGCTGAGGATGAGCCGCCGGTCCCCGGGAGCGGGGAAGGGGTCGAGGCAACCAGGGGCCCGGTTCTGACAAAAAATCACGACGTCGGATCAAGAAGCCCGCCCAGAACGTCACCCGGGATCCCATCCTCATTAGCTGCGTTGAGCCATGAGAGAAGGGGGAGACTGGCTCAGGGGGGAAGTATGGTGCTTCAATCGGCGATACATCGCCGATGGAGATCGGCGGTAGGCCCCCGATAGTGAAAGAATCCGCACGCTTCTGGGCGGGGTGGGCTATATCGGGCCCCTTATCAGTAATGAGTGGGCGATTGGGGGGCGACGCTCATCCCCCCTAACCCTGCCCCCTGAAGAGGGGGGGCGGAGGATGCCCCAAAAACAAACAGGAGTAGAGGCGGGGGGGGGGCGGGATCGGCGGCGAAATCCGAACCTACCCTCGCCAGTCAACGATTCAGGTCACTCGATGGGCGGCGGGGGTAGAATTCGGAATTCGTCGAACACGCCCCAGTGGCTGCGTCCACATGCGTCCCACGCCCATTTCGGCACGCCCCATCACACGTTTCGTGTCCCCGTTGGGAGCTCCACCGAAGGCCCCAGTGGCTGCGTTCACATGCGTCCCACGCCCATTTCGGCACGCCCCATCACACGTTTCGCGTCCCCGTTGGGAGCTCCACCGAAGGCCCCAGTGGCTGCGTTCACATGCGTCCCGCGCCCATTTCGGCACACCTCTCACACGTTTCGCGGCGATGGCCCCAACTGCTGCGCTCACACGCTTCCCGCGCCCACTTCGGCACTCGTGCGTCCCGCGCCCATTTCGGCATAACCCTCACACGCTTCGTGGCCCCATGGGGAGCTCCGCCGAGGCCCAAGTGGCTGCGCACATCTGCGTCCCGCACCCATCTCGGCACGCCCCAGGAGGAGGAGGAGGTGGAGGAGGAATGCGGCACGGGGAAGATGAGGCGGAGGAGGAGGAGGAGGAGGAGGACGACGACGATGAGGAGGAGGAGGAGGAGGAGCAGGAGGAGGACGATGAAGGGGGAGGAGGAGGAGAAGCACGAGGAGGAGGAGGACCAGAGGACGACGACGACGAACCGAGCGGATGCTGAACCACAAGGGCATGGCCCGGACCTCCGGCCTCACTCCTCGCACGGGGTCTCGATGATCGGCCCAGGAGTGCTCTCCTGCGGTGGGGGGGGCGGCTGCGCCACGCAGGGGCGGCGGCACTGGCGCCACCGGCGGCCACCGGCCGCAGGGGCGGCGGCGGCGGCGGAAGAGGCAGCTGCAGCAGCACGAGCCAGGAAGCAACTCCTGGGAGGGAGGTCCTCGCTATAACGAGTAAGGACGATTGAGCCCGATGCCCATTGAAGGGCCATAAAGAATAAAGTGGAGGCCCGACCACAAGAAACCTGCCACAAGAAATATGACCCTGAGATCCCAGGACGTCCATTGGCTTTTGGTGTGGGAACGTCACGCCTTCCACAGCAAAACCATCGAAACCCAAGAAACCCAGGGCACCCTGGAGGCGAGCAGGGTGTTTCTCGGCATGGGTCTCCACTGTAAGGGCGACTGAGCCCAATGCCGATTCAAGGGCCATAAAAAATAGTCAAACTCAAGCCAAATATTCTCAGACAGACTAAGCCAGATGAGGCGGGATCCAGCAGAAGTCCCGTCAGCCCTCTGGGCGTAGGCGGTTTGACGAACTCTAGTCTTCGCTCTTCCCACAACTCTCCTCCCCCTACTCGGAGGAGGGGGCTACCTCTCCCCCATACCCCCTCCCCTGGGCCTTGGAAAGGGGGCGGACGGAGGGGTTACAGTGTCAAAGATGGTCCAAGGTAGCTCAGAGAGGGCATCCGAGAGCTCAAGATCGCTTCCAGGATGGCTCAAGATAGCCGAAGCTGGCTCGAGGTAGTCTTCCACATACCTCCGGGAGGCCTCAAGACAGCCCCAAGATGGTTCCAGGTGCCCTTGGAGGCTTCCAGGGCCCCCCCCCACCATAATCATTCAAAAGCCTAGGGAAAACCAATGTGGCTTGCCTTCTCGCCTTTTCGCTTCCAATAAACCTCGGAGGCTTCCAGATGGACCCAAGACGGCCCAAGAGAGCCCCAAGAGAGGCCCCAGGAGGGCCCCAAGAGGGCCCCAAGAGCGTCCACGAGGTTTCCAAGAGCGGCCCAAGAGGGCTCCAAGACGTCCTTCTTGCGCCCCCGAGGGGGGGACCCGAATTGAGGACCCCCCTTTTTGTGAGCCACGGGGCCCACGAGGCCTCCTGGCCCCCTCCAACGAGCCCCAAGAGGGCCCCAAGACTTCCAAAATGAGCCCCGAGAGGACCCCAAGAGTACCCCGAGAGGCCCCACGGGTGCCCTCAGGCAGCCCCAAGATGGCCTTCGCCGACTTTCAAGAACCTCTCTCAACAACATACCTCCAAAGCCCGCCTCCTCATCCTCCTCGCCATCGTCCGTTCCTTCCCTCCTCCTTGCCTGCCTTCTCCCTGCTCCTCCATCTCCTTCTCCTCATCATCCTCCTCCTCCTCCTCCTCCTCATCATCATCATCATCATCATCATCATCATCATCATCATCATCATCATCATCATCATCCATCTGCTCCGCCTCCTCCTTCCCCTCTGTCTCCTCCTCCTCCTCCTCCCCCTCCTCCTCCTCCTCCTCCTCCTCCTCCTCCTCCTCATCATCATCATCATCATCACCAGCAGCAGCAGCATCATCATCATTATCATAATCAGTATCAGCATCCGCATCTTCATCATCATCAACCTCATCATCACCAGCATGCTCATCAGCATTCGCATCATCTGCAGCAGCATCATCAGCAGCATGAACATCATCATCATCATCATCATCATCATCATCATCATCATCATCATCATAATAATAATAATCGGCATCATCAACATCGTCGTCATCATCTGTATCATCATCAGCAGCATCAGTATCATCATCTTCATCATCATCACCATCATCATCATCATCATCATCGTCATTAGCATAATCATCACCATCATCAGCATCAGCATCATCAGCATTAGCATAATCCTCATCATCATCAGCAGCAACATCATCAGCATTATCAGCATTAGCATCATCCTCATCATCAGCAGCAGCAACATCATCAGCATCAGCATCAGCATTATCGTGGTCGTCATCATCAGCCGCATCAGCATCAGCAGCAACACCCTCATCATCTTCAGTATCAGCATGAGCAGCATCAGCAGCATCATCAGCATCAGCATCATCATCAGCATCGCCATCATCATCATCAGCATCATCAGCATCATCAGCATCAGCATCATCGTCATCAGCATTATCAGCAGCGTCATCAGCATCATCAGCATCATCATCATCATCATCATCGTCATCATCATCATCATCGTCATCATCATCATCATCTTTAGCCGCAACAGCATCAGCATCAGCATCATCATCAGCATCGCCATCAGCAGCATCATCATCAGCATCAGCATCATCAGCAGTAACAGCATCATGATCATAATCATCATGATCATCCATAAACGATAATCTGAATCAGCATCATCGTCAGCATCATCAGCATCATCAGCATCATCATCAGTATCATCATCATCATCAGCATCATGATCATCAGCATCACCAGCATCATCAGCATCATCAGCATCAGCATCATCAGCATCATAATCATCATCATTAGCAGCTCCAGCAGCTTCAGCATCATCTGCATCATCAGCATCATTACAATCCTCAGCAGCGGCATCAGCATCAGCAGCAACATCGTCATCATCATCATCATCAGCAGCAGAAGCATGATCATCCGCATCATTATCAGCATCAACAGCATCAGCATCAACATCAGCAGCATCATCCGCATCATGACCATCGTCATCACCAGCAGCAGCATCATCATCAGCATCAGCATCTGCATCATGGTCGTCATCAGCATCAGCATCATCACCAGTCGCAATAGCATCATCAGCATCAGCATCATCAGTAGCATCATCAGCATCATCATCACCCTCATCAACGTCATCATCATCATCATCATCATCATCATCATCATCATCATCACCACCAGCATCATCGTCATCGTCAGCCTCAGCAGCGTCATCATCAGCATCATCATCAGTTGCAGCAGCATCAGCATCAGCATCTTCATCAGCAGAAGCAGCATCATCAGCATCGTGATCGTCATCGTGATCCTCATCATCGGCATCAGCATCATGCTCATCAACCTCGTCATCATCATCATCATCATCATCATCATCATCAGCATCAGCGTCAGCCTCATCATCAGCCGCATCATCATCATCAACGTCAGCATCGTCGCCAGCATCATCAGCAGCACCATCATAATCGTCATCAGCCACATCACCAACATCATCAGCATCAGCCGCATCAGCATCATCAGCGTCAGCATTAGCATCAGTATCAGTATCATCATCATCATCATCATCATCAGAAGCAGCAGCAACATCAACATTGTCAAAATCATCATCAGCAACATCGTCATCGGTGTCACCATCATCAGCATCATCGTCGTCATCATCAAGAGCATGAGCTGCAGCATCTGCTGCAGCAGCAGCATCAGCATCGTCAACATCAACATCATTAGCAACATCATCATCATCAGCAGCAGCAGTAGCATCAGCATCATCATTATCATCATCGCCACCATCAGCATTACCGTCCGCATCAGCATCATCATCAGCAGCATCATCATCATCATCAAAATCAGCATCATCAGCATCTTCATCATCGTCAGCATCATCATCTTCCTCGTGCCGCATTCCTGCTCCTCCTCCTCCTCCTCCTGATGTTCCTCTTCCTCCTCCTTATGCTTCTTCTGCTCCGCCTGCTCCTCCTGTCCTCCTCCTCCTCCTCCTCTTCATCCTCCTCCTCATCTTCCTCCTCGTCCTACTCCTCCTCCTCTTTCCCCTCCTCCTCCTCCTCTCTCCGCCTTCCTTCCTTCTCCTCATCATCATCATCATCATCCTCCTCCTCCTCCTCCTCCTCCTTCTCCTCCTCCTCCTCCTCTCCCAGCCTACTCCTCCTCCTCCTCTTCAGCCTCCTCCTCCTCCTCCTCATCCTCTTCCCCTTCCTCCTCCTCCTCCTCCTCTTCCTCCTCATCCTCCTCCTCCTCTCCATCCTCCTCCGCCTCCTCCTCCTCCTCCTCACCCCAAAGATGGTCCCAGGAGGTCGAGCATGGCTCAAGATAGCCTCCGACAGACCTCCGCAAGCCCTCAAGACAGCCACAAGGCGGTCCAAGATAGCCGGGCATGGCTCAAGATAGCCTCCAACAGCCTCTAGCCGAGCACGGCTCAAGACAACCTCCAAGTGGCCTCACGAAAGCCTTCAATCGTGTCTTGATGGGCTGGTGGGGATACGCGAAGCGTCAAGAGTCAAAGCGAATTGGGTCGGTCGTCGACCAAAGGTACACCAGCGCCGATGCTGAGCTCAACCTCCCAGGAGCTGCATCGTCATACGAGGAAGGCGACACGAGGCGAGGCGAGGCGGCTCCCAGGTCGCCCGGGAGAGGGCGACCGCGCGCGGGGCCAGGAGTCGGCGCCAGGGCGCCGCGCTCATGCAGTCGAGGGATAACACGATTCTGATTATACGGTGTACCTAATCTGCATGGGGCAACAATCGCCCCCCGTTGGATCCGCTAGGGGGGTGAGCTCGTGCTGTCGGAACGGGTGGAGGGAGGGGTTGGAGGGGAGAAGGAGAATGAGGAGGAGGAGGAGGAGGAGGAGGAGGAGGAGGGGGAGGAGGGGGAGGAGGAGGGGGAGGAGGTGGAGGACCACCCTTCAATTTTCGGGCGCCCGCATTGGGTACGACAAGAAACGGGTACAATGCCGAACAACGCATGTTGCCCAAGACCATCAGCGGTCGCTGCTGGGCAGGTGGCCTTCTGTCTCGAATGGACCACGCCCGCGGCGAGGCCGACAGCGAGCCTGGCTCACAGTGGACAGGAACTGCTCTCAGTCTTCGATGTCCACTCTCCCCGTACCCATTTCGATCGTCCCGAACCCTCGAGCGACGATCAAAAAAAAAGTCTTGCGCGAGATGGCACAGCGACCTTCCACGGTGGCTCGCGCGGGCCGCCAGCTCGGCAGGTTACGCCTGAGGAGCGAGGGCGCTTTTCAGGCGCGAGCCTGCGCAGTCGGCCTGAGCGCCAACGTCGGCGCAGGCGGCCCGTTCTGATTTCGGGCGTCGCTCAACTGTGGCCACACATCGCTTTCCTACGCCACGCTTCTCGAAGCCTCCTCGATGGCGTCGCTCAACTGTGGCCACACATCGCTCTCCGACGCAACGCCTGCGGAGGCCTCCTCGATGGAGCCAGAGTACGTCGATGGTGTCGGGAGATCCCGCCGCATCGCCGGTGCCTCGGCGACGCACGAGCGGTGCGGCTCGCCGTGGGGCCCAATATTTCCTCCGCGCCGGCGTCGCCGCTGCAGCGCCGACGTCGCCAGTGCGCCGTCGGCGCAAGGGGAGGGAGAGCAGAGGCAGGAACGCACGCGGGGGGGGGGGGCAAGAACTCCCCGTCGCGCCGCGAGAGCAGGAGAAGATTTGCGGCGGCAGGGGGAGGAGGAGGAGGAGGAGGAGGAGGAGGAGGAGGAAGAGGAGGAGGAGGAGGAGGAGGAGGAGGGGGAGGGAGGGGGCTCCGCAATATTCGGCGGTGGACAAGCCTCCCTTCAGCAGACCTCCCCTTGGTGAAACCGGCCTGGGGCCGAAATCGACAGACCTGGACCCGCAAAAAGGACGGCCGCGACGCCCTCTCGCGAACCGAAAACGGCCAGTTCCTTAATCGAAGTGTCAGGGTAGGAGGTCTGCCCACCCCGAAAGATGGGCTGGCCTCGGCCCACAGGAGCGGGGCACCCCCCGAGCACCCTGGGGGGCCGTTGGGCAGCTGCTCCGGCCGAGGAGTCCGCCCCTGGGAGGTGGTCGAGACCACTGGGGATCGTTCTCTCTTTCTCTCGGACCTCCGCTGGCACAGTCTTGCGCGTGTTGGGCGAGAGGCGGGTCGGCTGTCATAACGCAGCGGGCTCACGACGTCTCCGGGGACCTGCACCAAAGAGCTTCCTGGCGCAACGCCACTGGGGGACGGCTTGTTGGCAACAGAGAGCCAAACAATCCGGTCTCGGGAGTCACCCTTGCCCCCTCCCCCCTCACGGTCAGGACCTTTTCCTTCGCGCGATTCGCGTTGCTGCGGCGGCGGCCCCGGCGGCACGCTGTGGCCTGCTAACAGATCACGTATCGCTCCGCTCCGCGTGGCGGGAGGCCAGGAGATGCTCGGGACGTCAACGCTGGGGGGCCCAGAAAAGGATAGCGTGTTGCGCCGAGACGCGAAGGACCCGAGCGGGCGGCGCGACACGCTACGCAAAGGTTCCTGACCGTGTCCTGCATGCCCCTCCTCCTCCTTATCTCCCTCCTCTTCTTCCTGAGGCCTCCAAGAGGTCCACGTAGATCCCTGGAGGGCCAACAGGGGCCAGCAGAAACGACTAGGAAACCTGGACCCTCGATCCTCATACCTCCTCCACGCCCTTCCCGCATCCTGCTCGACGGTGACGCCTCGCAGGACGTCGTCGATCATCTGCCGCCAGGGCGCACGGGAGGCTTCGGAGTGGGACAAGCGAAGCGCGGAGCTTGTCGGGCGCGCCGCGACGGGTTAAGACATGGGGGCATCCTCCTCCTCCTCCTCCTCCTCCTCCTCCTCCTCCTCCTCCTCCCTCCTCCTCCTCCTCCTCCTCCTCCTCCTCCTCCTCATAATCATCATCATCATCCTCCTTCTCGCCTCCTCTTCCTCCTCCGCCTCCTCTTCCTCCTCCTCGTCCTCCTCCTCCTCCGCCTCCTCCTCCTCCTCCTCCTCCCTTCCTCCACCGCCTCCGCCTCCTTCTCCGCCGCCTCCTCCTCCTCCTCCTCCTCCTCCTCCTCCTCCTCCTCCTCCTCCTCCTCCTCCTCCTCCTCCTCCTCCTCCTCCCTCCCTCCTCCTCCCTCCTCCTCCCTCCCTCCCTCCCTCCCTCCCTCCCTCCCTCCCTCCCCCTCCTCCCTCCTTCCTCCTACCTCAACCCTCCTCCCTCCTCCTCCCTCCTCCCTCTCTCTCCCCCTCCTCTCCCTCCTCCCTCCCCCTCCTCCCCCCCCCTCCTCCCTCCTCCCTCCTCTCTCCTCCGTCCTCCCGCCTCCCTCCTCCCTCCACCCCTCCTCCCTCCCCCTCCTCCTCCTCCTCCTCCCTCCCTCCTCCCCCCTCCTCCCTCCTCTCCCTCCTCCCTCCCTCCCCCCATCCCTCCTCCCTCATCCCTCCTGCCTCCTCCTCCTCCCTCCGCCTCAGCCTCCTCCTCCTCCTCCCCTCCTCTCTCCTTCTCTCCTCCTCCTCCTCCTCCTCTCCTCCCATTCCACCTCCTCCTCCTCCTCCGCCTCCTCCTCCTCCTCCTCCTCCTCTCCTCCTCCTCCTCCTCCTCCTCCTCCTCCTCCTCCTCCTCCTCCTCCTCCTCCTCCTCCTCCTCCTCCCCCTTTCTCCTCCCCACTCCTCCGTCCCGCCTCTCACCTCGAAGGTTTGCACGATTGTGGTATTCGTGTATCTTATTTGGGCCTCTGAAGCCTCTGGATGTCTCTCGAGATCTCGGGAGGCCTCTGGATCCTTCCAGGGACAACAGACTGAATCCGACTGAATCCTGCAGGAACGATTATTCATCGGACACTATCCCTTGAGCCGACCCGACAAATAGACAGACTTGCTCATCGGATACTCGCATCGCAGCTTTCAAGATGCTGTGTAATCCGCCGACCCCCGCTTGCCAGGGGTGCCAAGGCGTGTGAGACGTTTTGCTGCCCCCCTCCCCCATTTCCCCTAACCCAATACGGTCCCCCCTCCTCTCCTCCTCCTCCTCCTCCTCCTCCTCCTCCTCCTCCTCCTCCTCCTCCTCCTCCTCCTCCTCCTCCTCCTCCTCCTCCTCCTAGTAATGATAATAATTATCATTATTATTATTGTTATTATTATAACATCTCATTTCGGGGGGGTCCCCCAACGAACTCCCACGCGCCTCCGGGGCCCTCGGAACCTGGAAATCCACCACCCATGGCCCCTGAGATGCCCCACGCTCGCTCCCCCAAGACGTCTCAAAAGAAGCGGCGCCAGCACGCTCGAGCGGCCTCCCGGAGCGGGCAGGATGGCCTCTCCGACCGGCCACGAGGCCCCCAGGACGCACCACGAAGGCCCCAACGACTCCCCCGCTGACTTTCTCAGAGTCTTTGGATGGCTTCGCGCTCGCGCCTGTCCGGGCTTCTGCAAGCACCGGGCGGTCCGCGAGAGGCGACCCGCCACGGCCCTCAAGAGGACCCCGGGAGGAGCCAGGAGCAACCCGAGCGGGCCCCAGGACGGCTCAAGCCCAAGGAACCCCTGAGACGGCCAAGACGGCGTTCAAGAGGGCACCCAGAAGGCAACGAGAGAGGCCCAAGAGGGAAAGCTCGCAGGGAACCCGAGTGCCCCCCACCCCACCTCACGAGACAGCCCCCCCCAAATATGCCCCTAAGAGGCCCTGGAGAAGCCCCCGGAGGGCCCAGAGAAATCCCCAGGAGCCCTGAAAAGGCTTCCACGGGGCCGCCCCAAAGGTCCTCAGCGGTTCTGCTCTTGCTTGAAAGCTGCATCAACAAGGCATAATATCAAAAAGTGAATAGGCACCATGCGTAAGTGCGCCCTATCTCATAAATTCGTCTGGCACAGCGTGTAACGTTATCAGCCCTGTTTTGTGATTATGGCTACACGTCTTTTCAACAACATCACTCCAAACGCTCGCCGTCCATACTGGTTCCACTTCAGCGTACGTTTTCTTATTACTACTACTACCTTTCGTATTACTATTTCCGTATTATTGTCATTATCATTATCATCGTCATTCGTCTTAGTCTTCTTATTTTTCTTATTATTATTATTATTATTCTTATTCTTCTTATTATTAGTATTCTTATTATTCTTTTTCTTCTTCTTCTTCTTCTTCTTCTTCTTCTTCTTCTTCTTCTTCTTTTTCTTCTTCTTCTTCTTCTTCTTCATCACGTGTGTGGAGTTTCGCCTCTCTTCCTAGCGTCCCCACAAGGCAACGACTCATACTGATCGCTCCTGGGAACGTTTTCTGACCGAGAAGCCGCGCCCGCGGCAACGGGCATCGGTCACACCGCCGCGTGCTCCCCCGCCCTCCATCCCCTCCCTCCTCGGCCCTCTCCTCGCTCCCTTTCCCTGGCTCCCCCACTCCCCCGTCCCCCCGTCCCCTCCCCGCCTCCTCCTCCCCTCCCCTGCCTCTCCCCAGCCTCCGCCGTCCCCTCCCCCCCACCCCCTCCCTCAAAGCTCTCCCTCCTCTCGCGTCTCTCCTCCTCCGCTTGCTCTGCCTCCCCTTACCTCTCCCCTCCACTCTCCCACCCACTCAAGGCCCTCTCCCCTCCCCTGCCCTAGCTCGTCTCCCTCCCCATCCCTCCGTTCCTTCCCTTTCTTTCCGACTCCCTCTCTCCCAACCCTCTCTGGTTCTCATCTCCCACAACGTACGCACAGCCATGCAGGACCATCGGGTCGCCGTCGCAGTCAACGCGGGCAGGGCGTGCGCGAATCGCGGCATCGCTGGCGGCATGCGCACAGTTCAAGCAAGCGCCTCGGTGCCGCGAGCGACGGCAGTAGCCTCCCAGGAGAAGGAGCACGAGAGAAGCGCGGAGGAGCGAGGGGAGATGGAACCAGGGGGGAGAAAGTGATGCGGCGGAAAGATGGGGGAGACGAGATAGGAAGGGCACCCGCTCCCCTCTCTTCCTGCTCCTCCTCCTCCTCCTCCTCCTCCTCCTCCCACTCTTGTACTCCTGCCCCCTAATCCGCATCCATCTCTTCCTCCTCCTGCTCCTCCCACTCCTTCTCCCTATCCCCATTCTCCCCTCAAATTCCATCTACTCCAATGCCTCCCTTCTTCCACATCTTCTCCCCCCTCTGTAATTATCTTGCTCCCTTCTCCCTCGTCCTCCCCTTGCATCCCTCCCTCCTGGCCGCATCCGCTCCTGGATGTGCGCCATGTCCTGGATACTGCCGAACTCCACATCGAAACCGTCGTCCAAGTTGACCTGGCCGGTCGCCCCGCCTATCCTGCTACCCCATCCGTCATCCATCCTGGTCCTCCCTCCTCCTCCTCCTCCTCCTCCTTCTTCTTATTATTCTTCTTATTATTCTTCTTATTCTTCTTATTATTATTATTATTATTATTATTATTATTATTATTACTATGCTTGTTATTCTTAGTATTCTTATTATTCTTATTATTCTTATGTTGTTTCTTCTTATTATTCTTATTATTAGTATGATTCTTCTTATTATTCTTATTATTATTATTATTCTTATTGTTATTATTCTTATTCGTCTTCTTCTTATTATTATTATTCGTCTTAGTATTCTTCTTAGTCTTCGTATTATTATTATTATTCTTATTATTCTTCTCATTAGTATTATTATTCTTGTTATTATTATTATTCTTAGTATTCTTATTATTATTCTTAGTCTTATGATTAGTCTTCTTATTCGTCTTATTATTATTATTATTATTATTATTATTATTAGTCGTATTAGTCTTATTCTTCTTCTTATTAGTATTATTATTCGTATTATTCTTCTTCTTATTAGTATTCGTAATATTCGTCTTATTATTATTATTATTAGTCTTATTCGTCTTCTTCTTATTATTATTATTACTATTCGTCTTATTATTATTCTTATTCGTCTTATTATTATTATTATTCTTATTCTTATTATTATTCTTCTTCTTATTATTCTTATTATTCTTATTATTATTCTTATTATTGTTATTAGTATTACTAGTATTATTGATATTATTATTATTATTATTACTATTATTCTTATTATTATTATTAATATTATTCGTAGTATTATTATTATTATTATTCGTCTTCTTCTTCTTCCTCATCCTCCTCCTCCTCCTCCTCCTCCTCCCCCTCCCCCTCCCCCTCCCCCTCCCCCCTCCTCCTCCTCCTCCTCCTCCTCCTCCTCCCTCCTCCTCCGCCTCCTCCTCCTCCTCCTCCTCCTCACTCCTCCTCCTCCTCCTCCTCTCCTCCTCCCCCCCCTCCTCCTCCCCCTCCCTCCTCCTCCTCCTCCTCCTCCTCCTCCTCCTCCTCCTCCTCCTCCCCTCTCCTCCTCCTCCTCCTCCTCCTCCTTCCTCCTCCTCCTCCTCCTCCTCCTCCTCCTCCTCCTCCTCCTCCTCCTCCTCCTCCTCCTCCTCCTCCTCCTCCTCCCGCTCCTCCCCCCTCTGGGCCCGTGCGCCCCGACACCGCGTCGCGTCCAACCCTGACAGAGGGCGGCGAGGGGGGGGGCGATGCCATGAGAGGCAGCCACTGCCGCAGCATGTCCAGCTGCGCGACCAGCTCGCTGGCCTTGCCCCGCGCAGCGGGCGGGGGGGGATGAGGACGTCGGGAGCCAACGAGGACGAGGAGGGACGAGGACGAGGACGAGGAGGGACGAGGAGGGACAAGGACGAGAAGGGACGAGGAGGGACGAGAACAAGGACGAGGAGTGGAAGGAGGGGGAAAGGGGGCGGAGCGGGGCGGTGAGGAGATGAGGAGGGGGAACGGAAAGGGGGGGGGGCAGGAAATGGAGCGGAGCGGGGCGGTGAGGGAACGGGGGGAGGGAACTGAGGGGGAGGGAACGGGGGCCGACAAGGACGAGGAGCGACGAGGAGCTGAACGGGAGTGAGAGGGAGGGAGGCGGGGTGGGGAGGTAACAGGGAAAAAGAACGCAGGCGACGGGAGAGGGAGAGGGCGGGGGGGGGCGACGGGCAAGGGGGTGAGGCGGATGGGCGGACCAAAAAATGCGATGAGGCCGGGGGGAACGAGGCGAGAGCCCTCGTTCGAATCGCTTGAGCTACTCCTGCAGAGTCATTGTGATGCCAGCGTTGTCGCACAGCTTCCCCAAAGCACGGAGCTGATCAGCTCCGTCGGAACCGCAGGAACCGCTGATCCACACCTGGGAAACATGTCTCGGCGGCGAGCCCGGGGAGGAAGTGAGAAGGGGCGGGCCTTCTCAGAAGGCTCGGAATCCCCTGGCCTTATAAGAAATGTGCTAGGCTTTCCCAGGAGACACGGAAAACTTCTCAGAAGGCTGGGGCGTTTCTGAGAAGTCCCGCCGCCTTCTGAGAAGACCTTGTCCTTGTCCTTGTCCTTCTCCTTCTCCTTCTCACTTCCCCCCTCGCTCGCCACCGAACCATGAGAATATCCGTCACCGTACCTCGAGGCACGAGCTGGAGTTCTCCCAGGTCCTTTGGCATCCTCTGTGCAGCGCGGTGAGCACCATTGCAGGGGGCTGCAGCCCCGAGTGCCTGGCGAGCTCCGCTCCGGGGCGACTCCTGGGATCCAGCGCGCGCTGGGCGTCGCTTGACGTGGGCCAGATAACGAACGGCACCAACCCACCTGCGGACCCACGGGCCTGAGCATGCACCATGAACTGCGGCTTGGGCTTCTGCGTGGTGCAGGCCACGGCTCCCGATGGGCCGTAGCGCAGCCTGGAGGGCCGTAGGTGAGGTGGTGTCGTTTGTGTGTTGGTCGATAATCGCCTCCTCCTGGCCTCGCCGTGAGGCTGCGCTCCTTCTGTCCCCCCCTCTTTGTTAATTCAAGCTTCGCGCGGCCCGCTTAGCTTCGACTGGAAGAGGTGCGCTGTCGACCCGCGAATCAAAAAAAATGTTGGTCGATACTGGGGGGACGATGCATGGGGGGGGAGACACGTGTGCACTTCTCGGGCCCGAAAGGCCTCCTTTTGAATCCCTAAGAGGGTCCCGTTATGGGGCCCCGAAGGGCCCCGCTCCTTGTTGCTGCGGCCCTCGCGGCCACCTCACTTATCGCCCCCCCATTCTACGCGACGCCCAAGCGTGGTATCGTTTCTGGTGCCACGAGGGCCCCGAAACGGATCCCAGGGGCCCAAAAGAGGGCTGGGCCCCGAGCCGCCCAGGAATCGCTCCAAGACGCCGCAGGTGGCCTCCAGGCGGTCCGAGAGGCCCCCAAGATGCCCCAGGAAGGCTCCAAGAAGACCCCAAGAGAGCCCCGAGATGCCAAAATCAGGAATGTTCCGCAGGTTTAAAAACCCCCGAGAGCCCAACACCATGCAAAAACAAATGGAAATCACAGTTATTGTCCTCCTCACCTTTTCTCTGCCGATAGGCTTCTGAGGCCACAAGGTGGTTCAAGACGGCCCAATACATCCCCAAGACGGACCTAAGGGAGCCACCAGACGGCCCCAAGAGCGCCCAAGACGGCCCCAAGAGCGCCCCAAGAGCACCCCAAGATCGCCCCCCGAGAGTTGATGCTGGTCGCTCCGATTGCCGAGCTGACATTGATAACACACGCCTGTTTGATCGATGACCTCCAAGATGGCCCCCAAGAGGGCCCGAAGGACTCCAAAATGGCCCCAAGAAGGTCCTGAGATAGCCCAGGTGGGTCTGCTCAGGCTGATCTAGAGCTTCGGTTTGACAGCCGCCCCCCTCTTTGTTCTACTGCGTGATGCCACACATCCCTGAGCAAGGCACTTCGCCTGGGTATCGTTTCTGCATGGGTCGGAGGGGATACTCGAAGAAGGAAAAACGTGAGATGAAGAACCGCGGCGAGAGTGCAATTACTGAGCGCCGAGAGCGCGAAATCCTTGGGAAATCTCTGGCGAGAGCGCGATCCTTAAGCAAACTGACAGGAAATCTCAAGGGAGAGGGCGACTCCTGAACACATGGTCAGGAAGTCTCAGGCGGGGCCGTCTGTTGCTGTAGCTGAGGGAACAAGATCACAGTGTGAGAAGGAATACCCTCCCTGGCACGAAAATTGTAAGAAAAACAGTGGGCACACCCATACTTCTCTCAAAGTTTGAGTTTGCGCCGCTGGGAAACAACAAACAGAGGTCAAAGTCGTCGTCAGCAGCATTACCATCATCAACATACGCATGATCCGCATCATCGTCATCACAAGAATCAACATCCTATTCGTCGCCGCCGGAATCGTCCGCAGCCGTGCCGTCGAAATCATCATCATCATCATCATCATCATCATCATCAGCAGCATCATCATCATCATCATCATCATCCTCATCCTCACCCTCATCCTCATCCTCATCCTCATCATCATCATCATCAGCATCAGCATCATCATCAGCATCATCATCAGCATCATCAGCATCATCATCATCATCATCATCATCATCATCGGCAGCAGCAGCATCAGCATCATCACCACCACCACACTCATCATCATCAGCATCATCAGCATCGTCAGTATCATCATCAGCAGCATCAGTATGATCATCATCGTCAGTATCGTCAGCATCAGCAGCATCATCATCATCAACATCATCATCAGCATCATCGAGTTCCTCAGCATCATCACCATCATCATCATAATCGTCATCAGCAGCACCAGCATCCTCATCATCATCAGCAGCATCAGCATCCTCATCATCTTCATCATCATCATCATCAGCATCATCAGCATCAGCATCATCAGCATCATCATCATCATCATGATCAGCATCATGGTCGTCATCATCACCATCACCAACATCGTCATCATCAGCAGCAGCAGCATCCTCATCAGCATCGGCATCATCAGAAGCAGCAGCGCGAGAATCAGCCTCAGCATCATCAGCAGCAGCAGCATCATCATCAACATCAGCATCAGCATCAGCAGCATCATCCGCATCAGCATCAACAGATTCATCAGCATCCTCATCATCATCGGCATAATCAGTATAACCATCAACAGCACCATCAAAATCCGCATCACCATCACCAGCATCAGCATACCCAGCACCACCAGCATCCTGACAATCATCTCCATCATCGGCATCATCATCAGAATCAGCATCATCATCGTCACCATCATCATCAGCAGTATCATCGTCACCATCACCATCAGCATCAGCATCAGCATTCGCATCAGCATCAGCATCATCATCATCATCATCATCATCATCATCATCATCATCATCATCATCATCATTATCAGGATCATCAGCATCATAATCGTCATCGACAGCAGCAGCAGCATTATCCGCATCATCGTCGCCATCATCTTCATCATCATCACCATCAGCATCCTCATGGTCCTCCTCGTGGTTGTCGTCATCCTCATCAGCATCGTCATCAGTTTCATCGGCATCATCATCGTCATCAGCATCATCTTCAGCATCATCAGCTGCATCATCATCAACAGAACTCCCATCATCTCCACCATCGGAATCATCATCAGCAGCAGTAGCAGCATCATCATCATCAGTATCATCAGCATCGTCATCATCATCAGAATCATTGGCACCATCAGAATCACCATCATCAGCATCATGCGCATCATCAGTAGCACCATCGTCATCAGCATCATCAGCATCAACATCATCATCATCATCATCATCATCATCATCATCATCGTCATCATCCTGATCATCATCATCATCATCATCCTCGTCATCATCATCATCAGCAGCATCCTCATCGTCGTCATCATCATCATCAGCATCCTCTGGCAACTCCTCGTCGTCATTATCGTCCTCATCCTCATCCTCATCCATATCATCACCAGCATCAACATCATCAGTATCGTCGTCGCCGGCGTCAACGCCGCCATCGCCATCGCCACCCTAATCCTCGTCATCGTCATCCTCCTGCTGCTCCTCCACCTCCTCAGCCTCGTCCCCAACGGCTTCGAGAAGTACCTCAACCTCGACCTCCTCCTCCTCCTCTTCCTCCTCCTCCTCTTCCTCCTCCTCCTCCTCCTCCTCCTCCTCTTCCTCCTCCTCCTCCTCCTCCTCCTCCTTCTCCTCCGCTTCCCCGTCAACGGTCCCCCTTCATCGTATCCCGAGAAGTAGCGACGCCTCCCCCCTTGCGCACAAGAGGGGCGCCGCTCGGAAGGGCCGTCGGCTGGTCGAGCATCTTGAAGGTCTTGATGCGGACCCTGGCGACATACCGATGGCTCCAAGCTTCCAGTGAAGAGGAAAGGAACAAAGATGAAGATGAAGATGGCAGTGACGAGGACGATGGCGATGACAATGCTGATGATGATGACGACGATGACGACGACGACGATGATGATGATGATGATGATGATGGTAACGATGATGATGATGATGATGATGATGGTGATGATGATGATGATGATGATGATGAAGATGAAGATGATAGTGATGACGATGACGATGATAATGACGATGATGATGGGGGTGATGGTGATGACGGTGATGTTGATAATGATGATACTGATGATGATAATAATGATGGTGATAGTGATGCTGTTCATGATTACGGCGACAACGACGACGACGTCAACGACAACGACGATGAAGATAAAGATGGCTATGACGACGACGACGACGATGAAGATGATGAGGATGATGATGATGCTTGTGATTACGACGACACTAACGATGGCGAGGGTGGCGCTGAAGGTAACAATGACGACGACGATGAAGCTGCTGATGACGATGATGATGCTTGCGATTACGACGACAACGACGACGATGACGATGAAGATGACGATGAAGATGTCAATGACGATGACGACGATAATGATGATGAGGATGATAAGGATTATGAAGGTGGTGATGAGGATGAAGATGGTGGCGACAACGACGGCGACAGTGATGATGATGATGCTGATGATGACGGTGATGATGATGATGATGATGATGCTGATAAGGCTGATGATGATACTGTTCACGATGATGATAATGGTGCTGATGATGAGGATGATGACGAGGCTGATACTGATGGTGATGATATTGATAATGATAATGGTGATGATCATTATGACGGTGATGGCGAGGACGCTGATGATGGTAGGGGTGATGATGGTAGTTATGATGATAATGATGCTGCTGATGATGATGATGACGATGACGATGACGATGACGATGATGATATTATCATTGTTGTTGCTGGTGATGATGATGATGATGACGATGATGATGGTGCTGATGATGAGGATGATGATGATGATGATGATGATGATGATGATGATGATGATGATGATGGTGGTCGTGGTGGTGGTGGTGACGGCGACGATGACGAGGATGCTGATGCTGCCTGGGCCGAAACAAGGGCCGGCCTGCAGCCACTTAGCGGGCAGGGCGGCCCTGGCTGGGCCCCGGGAGGCCATCTGGCGGTGCGCACGACGAGGACGACGACTGCGATAACGACCACGAGGACGAGCAGGAGGAGGAGGAGGAGGAGGAGGACGAGGAGGAGGTGGAGGAGCAGTGGGTGAGGAGGAAGAAGAGGAGGAGGAGGAGGAGGAGGACGAGGACAAAGACGAGGACCAGGAGGAGGAGGAGGAGGAAGAGGAGGGGGGGAGGAGGAGGAGGAAGGAGGAGGAGGAAGAGGGGGGGAGGAGGCAGAGGAGGAGGTGGAGCAGGAGGGGAGGAGGAGGAAGAGGAGAAGGAGGAGTAGGAGCAGCAGCAGGAAGGGCGAGTCTGATCCCCGCCGAAAGAAACAGGGGGGGCCATCAAAACTAAAGACCTCCCGAGGTTAGTTATGAAGGGACCCAGGGACACATAAATAACTTAACATATGGAATTTCGTCGTCCCCTCCACTTCCCAGATCTTCCCGTTTCCCTGGACATCGACGTGTTTGCTCCTCTTGGGGGCAGGAGACGGGAGGAGGGGGAAGGAGGGCGAGGAGGGGGAGGAGAAGGAGGAGAGGAGGAGGAGGAGGAGGAAGAGGAGGAGGAGGAGGAGGAGGACGAGGACGAGGACGAGGAGGAGGACGAGGACGAGGACGAGGAGGATGACGAGGACGAGGACGAGGAGGAGGACGAGGACGAGGAGGAGGACGAGGAGGAGAAGGAGGACGAGGAGGAGGAGGACGAGGAGGAGGACGAGAAGGGAGCGCGACTACCAAGACGACGAGGAGAAGAGCACCCCTGAATGGCGCGTGGGGCGAAGCGGCCCCCCGCACATCCGAGAACCCACCGCCGAGGATGTTTGCTGCCTGGCCGAACCCGACCTGGCCGAGCTCGGCTGGCTGAGTCCGACATTGGTCGAACTTCGCCTGGCCAAACTATGCCCTTGTCGAGGGGGGGGGGAGTCAGACATGCGACGCCGTGGCTTTTTCTCAATACACTCGCACCTAGGACAGAAGAAGGAGTCATTCGCCAAGCATATCCATACTACTGCAACATAAAAGGCATTATTTGTACACCCGCCTCAGGCTCGCCTGACAACGGACAAACGCGCCAGGGTCTTCGAGAGGCAGTTGGCTGCGCAACTTATTTTGGTTATCGCTGTGGCCTAAGACCGACTATGCCCACAATTTCGGGAACCCTTGGTCCAGTCCGTCTCCAGCGTTTCGGCGTGTGGTTGGTTATCCTCTTCAGGACCTGCCACAACCAACCACACGGGCAGGCCGACGCTGTCACGAACGACGCGTCTGTTTTCGACTGTGCGAAAACACCACGCATATCTCTTGAATGCAATAATACACTGTGTCTGGCTGTATTATGGGACTCCGTCGTACACACCAGAATTGCCAGAAGATGTCAAGCCAAGCTCTGAAAACCTGCTGCTTTGGCCTTCACAAAAGAGACAAAACAACTGCCCCCTGTTTCGTGACACCGCCGGCAACCGCAGCTAAGCCGGGCGGCTGCCCCCTTTTCCACGAGCGGACTCTAACCACGGCCCAGGGCTGTGAACCACCCGACCCCTGCGTTAAGCGCTCGTGGATAATACGAGCGCACATGCGAAGCCCCTTTTTGGTAAAGCCACCATTGCTACCTCTCTGACGGTTGGGAAAAGGGCCGCACCACCGAAGACGAGCTCATGGAGAGATTTTCGACTGATAACCAGTCACTCGCCAAGCATATCCATACTAGTGCAACATACCAGGCATTCTTTGTAGACCCGCCTCAGGCTCGCTTGACAACGGACAACCGCGCCAGGGTCGCCGAGAGGCAGTTGACTGCGCAACTTCCTTTGGTTCCCTTTGTGGTCTAAGATTGAGTATGCCCACTCTTTCGGGCACCCGTGGTCCAGTCCGTATCCAGCGTTTCGGCGTGTGGTTGGTTATCCTCTTCAGGACCTGCCACAAGCAACCACACGGGGCAGGCCGACGCTGTCACAAACAACACCTCCGTTTCCGACTGCGCGAAAACACCACACGTACCTCTTGAATGCAAAAATACAGTGTGTTTGGCTTTATTGTGGGACTTTTTCGTGCACACCAGAATTGCCAGAAAATGTCAAGCCATGCTCTGAGAACCTGCTGGTTTGGCCTTGACAAAAAGAAGAAAACAACTGAGGGTCCTTCAAAAACATCTGACTCACCGCCCACCCAAAACACCCCAAACAATAAGATCACTCGAGGATACCCTCCCCCAGGGTGCACGAGAACATCCAACAATCACGAAGAGCATTAAGGTACCCTCCCCGAACCGATTTCGATACTACCAGAGAGAAGGGGCTGAACCGAACAGTCATTCACTGTCCCTGGGTGCGTGGCTGACGTGAAATTCAGCGAAGCGGATTCTAACTGTTCTTGTTGTTGTTGTTGTTTGTTGTTTGTTGTCGCCGTCCCACCCGAAACCCGCCCCGCGACCCACCCGGGACCCACCCCGCGACCCACCAGCGACCCACCCGCGACCCACCCCGCGACCCACCCGCGACCCACCCCGCGACCCACCCGCGACCCACCCGCGACCCACCCGCGACCCACCACGCGACCCGCCCGCGACCCACCCGCAACCCACCCCGCGACCCACCCAAAATGTTCGGCTCCTACGGCGGGTTTCTTTTGCATTCGTTCCGGGTGGGGAACCTGCGACCCTTTCCCGCGACCCCAAAAGCGCGCCCGCGACCCACCGCGACCCACCCGCGACCCACCCGCGACCAACCCATCGACCCACCCAAAATGTTCGGCGCCTGCGGCGGGTTTCTTGTGCATTCGTTCCAGGTGGAGAACCTGCGCCCCACCCGCGACCCAAACCGCGTTCAGTGTACAAATCAAAATGTTCGGCGCCTGCGGCGGGCTGTTTCTGAATTCCTTCCAGGGGGGGTGGAAAGCCCGCAACCCACCCGCGACCCAAATTACGTTCACCGAACAAGCCAAAGGTTCGGCGCCTGCAGCGGGTTTCTTATGCATTCGTTCCATGAGGAGACCTGCGACCCAAACCGCGTTCAGTATACAAATCATAGGTTCGACGCCTGCGGCGGGCTGTTTCTGAATTCCTTCCAGGTGGAGGTGGAGAGCCCGCGACCCACCCGCGACCCAAACTACCTTCAATGAACAAACCAAAACATTGGGCGCCTGCGGCGGGCTGTTTTTGCATTCGTTCCGGGTAGGGGAGGGGGACGGAGGGGGACGACGAGAAAGGAGGGAGGAGGAGGGGTAGGAGGAGGAGGAGGACGACGACGACGGAAAGGACAAGGGGGGAGGATCGGGATGGGGGAGGACGAGGAGGAGGAGGAGGAGGAGGAAGAGGAGGAGGAGGAGGAGGAGGAGGAGGAAGGCGGAGGGAGGGGGGAGAGGAGGGAGGAGGAGGCGGAAAGGCGGCGGAGGAGAGGAAGCGGAAGGAGAGGAGGCGGACGACGACGACGACGACGACGACGACGACGACGATGAGGACGAGGACGCGGACGAGGAAGAGGAGGAGGAGGAGGAGGAGGAGGAAGAGCAGGAGGAGGAGGAGGAGGAGGGCGCCATCGACAGGGAAGGTGAAGGCCACGAGGTCCGCCAGCTCGACGCCCGCCTCACCCGCGCCCGCCCCCTCACTCTCATCCGCAGCTTCGGGGTGCTACGTACCCTGGTTGCCCCGTTTCACCCGGGGCCGCAGGCGACCCGAGGAGGAGGACGAGGCGGAGGACGAGGAGGAGGAGGAGGAGGAGGAGGACGACGACGACGAGGAGGGAGGAGGACGAGGAGGAGGATGAGCGAGCCTCGGAGCGAGCGGCGCCGCCACCTCCGCG